CAGCTGCTGGTGTGACCTTGGGTGAGTCACAAGTCCTTTCAGAGCTGCTCTCTCCGAAGCAGTCCTTGAGAGAGCTCTCTCAGCCCCGCCTACCTCACAGGGTGTCTGTTGTGGAAAGGGGGAAGGAAATGGTGACTGTAAGCCGCTCTGAGACTCCTTTGGGCAGCGAAGGGCGGGGTATAAATCCAATCTCCTCCTCTTCTTCTCCTCCTTCTTCTTCTCCTCCTCCTTCTCTGCCATAACCTGCTGGTCTCTGGGTTGGGAAATGCCTGGAGATTTGGGGGAGGGGTGGAGCCTAGGGAGAGTGGAGTTTGGAGAGGGGAGACACCCCAGTGGGGGGCCTAAGGCCACAGAGTCCACAGTCTGAAGTTGCCACTTGCTCCAGAGGAGTTTATCTCTTGTCATCTGGGGAGAAGTTGTCATTTCCAGAATATCTCCAGGTACCACCTGGAGTCTGGCAACCGTAGGCTTTTCTCACCTTTGGCTGGCCATACCTGAGAGCCAGTTTGGTGTAGTGGCTAAGTGTGTGGACTCTAATCTGGGAGAATCGGGTTTGATTCCCCACTCCTCCACAGGCAGCTGCTGGGTGACTTTGGGCAAGCCATAGTTCTCTCAGAGCTGTTCTTGAAAAAGAGCTGTTTCTGTCAGAGCTCTCTCGGCCCCACCTGCCTCACAGGGTGTCTGTTGTGGGGAGTGGAAGGAAAAGGAGTCTGTAAGCCACTCTGAGACTCCTTTGGGTAGTGAAGGGTGGGGTATGAATCCAATCTCTTCTTCTTTTACCTCCCAGGGTGTCTGTTGTGGGGAGGGGAAGGGAAAGGAGTTTGTCAGCCGCTCTGAGACTCCTTTGGGTAGTGAAGGGCGGGGTATAAATCCAACCTCCTCTTCTGCAACACGATTTAAGGATTCATAACAGGAAAAACACACACGAAGCAATCCGAACGCTTAAACAAAAGTGAAATAGTATATATATTTTTTTGCTTCTCTTTCTCTCCCCCAGCTGTCTTTGGGATTCCCCCCCCCGCCCCGTTTGTTGCTGCTCACTCCCACCTTTGATTTCCCTTCCTCCTCCAATTCCTCCTGAAACTATTTGGAGATCTAGGAAGGTGGAAGGTCAGAGTGGGACAGAGGAAGACCCCCCCCCTCTCTCTTCCTCCCATGCATAGTTTTCTGTGTCTCTCCCACCTCACAATGCTGAATCAAAATTTTGAAAAGCGTCCTCTGGGTGTGGAACGGGCAACGTTTCTTCTTGCGCAGGAGCCTGTTTGGGATGGTTGTTTTTAAAGCTCGGAGTGTGCAGAAGTTTGGCCCACGGATAGCCCCCCCCACCCGCCGCTTGCACTTAACAGCTCTGTGGTCCTTCCCATTTCCGCAGGGAGACGGAGGCGGTACCGGCGTCGTTTCCTCTGGCAAGTGGTCGACCTTCCTGAAATCCACGATGCACTGCTTCGACCAGAACACCGACCACCACTTCCATCTCGTGCAAGACGTCTTCGTCGTCCACTCTGAGGAGTGGGCCGAAACGAAGATATACGGGCTGTTTTCGAACGAGTGGTGAGCGAACACCTCCCCCCCCCCGCGGAAACGGCAAAGCCATGACCTGGATAGGCCAGGCTAGCCTGACCGAAACAAGGTCAGCCCTACTTAGTACTTGGATGGGAGACCACCAAGGAAGTCCAGGGTTTCTATGCAGAGGCAGGGAATGGCAAACCCACCTCTGAATGCTTCTTGCCTTGGCCTGGATACCCAGCAAACGATCACATAGTGAGCAATACAATATCAGGGGCAGGGGTCATTTCGTAGAAAAAGAGGTGCAGGAGCTCATTAGTATAACCTATTTGCATATGCCACACCCCCTGACATCACCGGAAGTGCGTCAGAAGGCAACACCCACCGCTCAGGCTCCACTGGACTGTTTTGGATTGCTAGCTATTGGGGGGTGGGGGGGAGGAACGTGCAGATCTGTCCTCGCAGAGGAGGGAGAGCTTGTACCTGAATAAAACTTGGTCTTAACGGTGCCACTGGACTGTTTTGGATTGCTAGCTATTGGGGGGGGGAAGGTGCAGGCCTTTCATTCAAGGGTCCTCGCAGAGGAGGGAGAGCTTGTACCTGAATAAAACTTGGTCTTAAAGGTGCCACTGGACTGTTTTGGATTGCTAGCTATTGGGGGGGGAGGGAACGTGCAGATCTGTCCTCGCAGAGGAGGGAGAGCTTGTACCTGAATAAAACTTGGCCTTAAAGGTGCCACTGGACTGTTTTGGACTGGGGGGGGATGCTCTGGGCTGGTCAGGGCTGGTCAGGGATGCTCTGGACTGGTCAGGGATGCTCTGGGCTCATCCTGCAGTGAGCAGGAGGTTGGACTAGATGGCCTGTCTGGCCCCCTTCCAACACTGTGATTCTACGATTCTATTCTTCTTATTCCCAGGGGCTATTCAGCCGTCTGCGTCTATTCTGTCAGGGACATCACGAAAATCTTCGAAACCTCGCCTCTCTTAGGTTTCACTGGTGGATTCCCGGGGGTGAGGCCCGGTCAGGTAAGGACCCAGTTTGCGGCCTCTGCCGTGGCGTCTGACGAGCCAGCCGCTCTTGAAAACAGGATGCTGGGCTGGATGTGGAACATTCGTGACTCATGTTCTTATGGTCCCAAGGAAATAAAGAGCCACAGCGGTCACAGGAGATTAAAAAACACAGGGCCGGGGCCGATGGTGCAAAATCGGGTAAAAATATATTTTGGCCCCGGTCAGACGTGGCAGAAAACGCGCGCGGGGGGGGGGGAGCACGGCTATTTGCCCCGTCGCATTCTGATGCGCTATTATGCGATCAGACGTGATGGCGGCTTCCCCGCAGCAAAGAGGATGACGGGGGAGGAAGCTGCGCACCAGGAGGCTTCCATAGGCGTCCCGTCTTCGTTGAGGTAGTTTTTTACTGCGCAGCTTCCGCGGCTTGCCACGGGAGGGCTACGCCTCCCAGATGTTCCCGTGTGATCGCGCTCGGATACTCTGCAGGACTCCCGTGCCGTCAGCAGGGCAAATGCTCCGTGTGAACAGGGCCTTTATTACTCAGATTTCCAAAAATGTCCCTACGTATTTTGCCAACAAGCTGTACTATCCTTTAACTTCATTTACAATCCATGACCAGGATACAAATAAGTAAGGGGAAGGAGGAGGGCTCCAGAGCAGACTAATTTATGCAGTAGCCAAATCGCTCGCTCACAACGTCAATGCCACTAGCTCACGAAGCAGAGTTTTTGCTCACAAGACTCCACAGCTTAGAGGGAGCATTGCCCCTAACGAGAAGCCTCTTGGCAAAATATGTA